TGTAGGGTTGAAGACATTCACAGCTTCCATACAGATAATCCCACCACCTGATCACTGCTCACAGCTGGAACGTCACAAGAACCAGAGAGCAAAACGGATCCGAGAGGTACCTTTGGTTTACGTGCCTCAGCCTGCAGACGAAACGGAGCAAGCACCAGGACCTCCATCTGTTAAAGGCAGTTGAGACAACATGGAAAACACACAGTTCAACACAATCCTGCACCTGGCTCGCTAGGGAAGGTACAGTCAAGCCTTAGCCACAGTGTGGCTGAAGGGGATTTGGGATGGCACTACCAACAGGGAATTACACAGCTCTCAGCATCTTAAAAAGAAGAAAATTCAAGAGGGAGGTAACATCGGTAATCATGGACAAACTCCTCACCTCCTCCTCCTCCTCCCGCAGAAGGATTGGGAAGTATTTCAATAGACCCCTTCCAGAAGGACACTGCCTTTCTGCACCCCTGGGAGATTAAGCACAATGCACCCCACAGCATGTGTGACCTACATCATCTCACCATCTCTGACCTTCGACAAATGCAAACCACAATTTTTACCTTACACAGAATACACCACATCAAACCAGAAGTCATCATATTCCATCTATGCTCTACATGGGGTGAAAAAGACAAATGAAAAGATCCAAGTTGTGCACAGGTCGCTTGGCCCAGTGCAGTCCTCTCCGAGTGTCACTGAGCACATAGCAAGGTGGGAGAGGTTTACAGGCGTCTACACTGCTGGACTCAAGACCATCACTGGAGATCTCAACAGCACCAACATTGCAGCATAGACAGGAAACAGAGTAAAGAGATGAAAAAGAGAGAATCAACTTCATTAAAACCCTTTCCAGGCATAATGAAGGCAGTAAGCAGGTGGTCAGAGACTACTAAGACAAGGCCTAGTTCCCCTCATCTCAGTTGAAACACGATCCCTCTTCCTTCCCCCTGCCCACAGGAGGTTTGCACAGAATCTCTTCTCTGCTGTTCCTGGCACGGGAGACCAGCTCACCTGTCCTGGGCAGCACCACTCAAGTCCCACTTCCCTGCTGACCCGGGTCCTCCGGCCAGCTGCCCCTCTGCCACCCTCCAGCTCACACCACACCACCTTCAGCACTGTCCCCTCACAGGTCACCTTGTTCCCTGTCACCACCCCCAAAAGTCACCTGCACCTCCACCCGCAGGCCCGCGCCAGCTCCAGCCTCTTGCCCTCACTACAGACACCTTTCCCACGGGCTCCAGTCAAACAGCTTTCTCCCTCGTCCTGCAGCCACCCTGCCGCACAAAGCCCTCCGAGCGGCACTGCCAGCCGCTCCTGGAGCCCCACACCCCCTCTCCGTCCCCACGGCACGCAGGGACCCCCGAACTCAGAGCTCTGCATCTCCTACACCCTCACTCAAGCCACGGCGCTGCCCAAACCTCAGGCGGGACCCCAAAAGCCTCTTCCCCCAGGCACCCCCCGCACCCCCTGCCAGCCCGCCGGACCCGCTGTCCCAAGGGCCGGCGCAGCCCCCGCGCCCACAGCCGCCCCCGCCCCAGGGACGCAGCCCCCGACACGGCGCGACCCCAGAGCCCCCGGGCCGCCCCCTCCCCTACCTGGGCGGGCTCCACGCCGGCAGGCAGCCCCTCGGGCAGGGCCTGGAGCAGCAGCAGGGCCATGGCGGCGCGGAGCCTCCTCGCCATCCCCCCCACCCCCCGCTCCCGCCTGCCCGGCCCGACTGCGGCCCGGGACGGGAGCCGAGGGGCACCCCGCGCCCGGGCCCGCCCCCGCAGCACGCCTATTGGGCGGGCGGTACGCCGCTCGGCTCGCTATTGGCTCAGCGCGCTGTCGCTTAGGGCTAAACCGTGGAGGGCGGGGTCTACGCCCTGGGGGCTGCCATCTTGAGTGTGGCGCAGCGGGGAGGGACCCAGGGGTGGGATCCAGGCCGCCATGTTGTGAGTGGCGGAACTGTCTGGAAAGGGGTGCGGGGGCCGCACCCCCCTCCAGTTGAACCCCGGGAGCAGAGCTGGACACTGCGGAAAGGGGGGCCACTGGCATCCTCTGGCTGCCACAGCCTCCCTGACACCCCGGTGGCAGCCAGGCACTCATCCTCCATTCACCTGGTCATTCCTGGGTACCATGATTCCGGCTCAGCCTCCTTCCACATTGTCCCAAATCCCAACAGCCCGCCCGGTCCTGAGGCATGGAGAGGGTGCTGGCATGGGTGCAGCAGCATGATGCTTGACTCGAGGTGTCCGGTGAGCAGTTTTGTGTTTGTGCCAGTCCCACTGGGAGACAGGATCAGCATGGAGAAGTTCTCCCACTGCGGCTGGATCCCAGAGTTTCCCCACATGGCGATCCCTCGCACTCCCAGGAGAAGTAGGGGCACCGGCACTCAGGATTAATTCACAGCTCCAGGGAGACAGCCAGTGTTTCTGGGGCAGTCTCAGAGGGTTTCCACTCTGCCACTCCCAGCATGCCAGGCAGCCTCTGTGCAGGATTGGCATGACAAGGTTTATAAGATGCTCAGATAACATGTTAAGAAAAGCCAGGAAAAAAATAACTGACTTAGCAGCTTATCTCCTGCCATGGCATTTTTCTGTCAGGGCAGTACTCAGGCACACCTAGGCCGGCCGGATCAGCTCAGCTGCCTGCCCTGGTGTGGGCGTTCACCCATTGCACATGGACCCTGCTCCCTCCTCGCTCTGTGGCAGCCAGTTCCCCAGTCTCCACCAGGCTTTGGGCTTGGAGCCGCGAGCCAAACCTTCCTGCTGGGACTGCTGGTGCCTCAGGGAGCCCACCAGCCCCCCATGCCTCCCTAGCCCCTACTGAGGTTCTGCTGCAGACCAACGTGACATCTTTGGTCCGGTTACCATTTGAAGGGAGGTTGTAAATGTGCTGGAGCACTGGCATTTCAGTCACAAACAGTTATTGAAGAAGCTTTAATCCTGTTCCCAGGTAGCCCTGAAATTAGAGGCACAGCAGGGAGATGGGCAGCGAGTTCACCAGTGCACAGGACAAGCCCAGATCAGGTGTGACTCATCACTGGAGAGCAATTAACGCTTGCTGCTCTTCCCAAGCGGGAATGAGTCTGGCTCTGACTCCTGGCAATGGGGTTTCCTTTTCTATTGCAATGGGAAATGGAGACAAGGCTGGCCTTGCATGGGGACTTGTTGGCCACAGCTTGGCAGGGACCCCTCTGCTCCCCAGTGAGACCAAGGCAGGCCAGGGAGTTACTGTGGTTTTGGGGAGAGCTGGGAGGCACAGGCTGCAGCAGCCATCTCCAGAGTGATGTGAGCTGCTGAGATGACTTGAAACCTTCCGGGGAGACTCCAGCTACAACCTACAAACCTAGAAACCCTGCTGAGCTAAACTGTCAGCTGGCATAAATCCATGTCGATCTGAAGAGAGAATCCACTGCCCTAAGCTCGAGGCGGGGGGAAGGTCTATCTTAAGGATCGTTTGGCAATTCTCTGAGCCCAGAGCAACCCTTTTCCTCTTGCCCATGAGCAATGCACTGCACCGCACTGTGCCCCACTCCCCAGGGCTGGGGGAGAGCTGATGCAAGATGGCAATAGCTCTTCAGAGGGTCTCCCTGCTCCATTGCCCCTCCAGCATGGCTGCGGACAGGAAAAAAAGGGTGGCAAAACAGCTGAGACTTTGCAATCATGGTCCCAGCCTTTGCCTCTTGTGGCTGCTGCCCCAGCATCGCTGGCTGCAGAACCCTCTGTCCTGCTGGGACTTCCCCAAACTGCCAAAGCAGGAAGGGTCAACAGCAAGAGCATGGCTGTGATGCACAGGGGAAGGGCAGTTTTAGGGTGCTGCAGCACATTGTTTTACAAGCATTGCCGTGCTCCCAAGCATGCCAGAGGCATCTTGGACCCAAACACAGCCCAGGCTGCTAGAGGTACCTTTCTGAAAGTCCCCAAAGCTGTTTTGGGTGCAGGATGAGAGCAGCTTGAGTTAAGGAGCTTAAGAAAAGCAGGGAGTGGAGGTGGCTCCTTGTGGCTTCTCCCCAATCCCACCAGGAGTGACATCTGTTTCACTTCATGTGCTTATCTTTTATTTTAATTGCACTTTAACAAGAGATCTAATAATGCCCAGGGAACAGAAACACAAGTTTGAACATGTTTTCCTACTTTCTGCTGGCCTATTAATTATTTCAGAGCTCTTTTACAGCTTTCTAGCTGTATCTGTGTGTGGTTGGAGACATTATGCTCTGCCTGTTGCAGCTTGGGCAGAAGCAATGCTGTGGATACAGCTTGGCCCTTTGAGAAGTACCTTTTGGGTTTGTCTGCTCTCTCTGTAGGAGCAGAGTGTTTAATGTGTCTCTACTCAGGCACGTAGCTGATGTGAGAATCCCCAGGGGATCTGGCATATATCCCTGGCTGGAGAGAGGCCATGGGGCTCTGGGAGCAGCCACATCGTATGGCTTGTTAGAAATATGCTTGTCCCACTGAGGGATGTTCATCAGCAAGCGGAGAGCCTGGGTGCAGCTGATTAAAAGCAAGGGTTTTAGCCCAGGACTTGGACTCCTTCCTCCTCCAAAAATAGGCTGCAGCAAACTCAAGCTGCTCTTCTTCAGGGTGGGAGAGGCCTCATGGCAGACCCAAGATAGCATCATGCAAACTCTGCCAGACCAAGAAGATAAACAGCACCCATGGGTGTAGGAAGGGTCACCCAGTGTCACCCCCCCAGTTCCCACAATGGGATAAGTGTCACCATGAGCACAGCACTATCACCTTTTGTAACTTGCCTTGGGACTGTTTGCAGCCTCAAGAACCATTTGAGGAATTCTGCACTGGACGCCCAAAGATTTCAGAATTCATGCCAGCCCTTACACTCTTCCTCCTTCCCCTGGCCCCTGTGCTGACCCTCACTCTGGTGCCTGGTCAGTCACAAAACCTGCACCTTTTCCCTTTCAAGGCAAGCATGAGACCCACATACCAAACCAGCCCAGCCCAGAGAACCAGACACACAGAGACCAGCCAGGAGCAGAACCCACAACTGTTTTTTAAAAATCACTGCATTTATTTTTCGACCTTCCTCTGTTGTTTGCAGTGCTGGTATTCAGAGCCCAAGTGAGTGCAGCTCTGTGAAAAGAAAGACAAGTAGCTACTGGAGAGGGTCCAGCAGAGGCCACAAAGAATGATGAGGGGTCTGGGGCATCTCTCCTATAAGGAGAGACTGTGGGAGCTGGTCCTGTCTGGGGAAGAATGAGAGAGGATCTCATCAATGCACATAAATATTGCAAAGGCAGGTGCCAAGAGGATGGTGCCAAGCTCTTTTCAGTGGTGCCCAGTGACAGGATAAGGAGCAATGGCCATGAACTAAACCACTAGAAGTTCCACTTCAACATGAGGAAGAAATTCTGTGCACTGAGGGTGGTAGAGCACCAGAATAGGCTGCCCAGGCAGGTTATAGAGCGCCCCTCTCTGGAGATATTCAAAACCCGCCTGGATGCCTTCCTGTGTCACCTGCTCTAGGCGAACCTGCCTTGGCACTAGATCATCTGCCTAGGCAGGCTAGATGATCTCCAGAGGGTCCCTAAAAATTCTGTGATTCTATGATGTCTGTGTCTTCTTCCCCCATCCAAGGGGGCACAGAGACAACTGTCCCCCAAGGCTGCAGGTCCATGGTCCTACCGTGGGGACAGTGAGATGCAGGACAAGGGTGACAGCTGGCTTTTGTGATCAGAGGAATGCAAAAATTAGAGCTTAAAAAACATTAGCTATTTCCTTCCTGGATTGTGGCAATAGCACAGTGAATAAAACCTGAACCTGAGAGCAAGGAAGGCGTAGTCCAAGCACTGACATCTGGACTTTGGGGTACTCCCTGTGCAGAGGGGCCAGGTCCCTTCGTGCCTGCCAAGGCATGATTCAGGTCTTGGTAAGAGGCTACTGTGGAGATTTAAGGCACGAATGTGGTTTGGTTGCTGGTACAATGGCAGGACAACTGCTTTCGGAATTAGAATTGTGCTCTGAGCTCCATGTGAGAGAGCCTGATGCCTTGTGGGGCCAAGTCCAGTGACCACAAAAGGCTCAGACAGGTTGGGCAGATCCTCCACCACTGGGCCAGTGGAGGAAGGCAGGCACTGCTCAGGGCAAGAGGAATGTGAGGAAGCAGGGACATGGCCAGCAGCAGATGAGGGAGGCTCAAGACCAGCCAAAATGCTGCAAGCTGGGCACACAGAGCCAGATCCTGCTTCTCCAGTGGAAGGAGGCAGCAGAGAAGATGCTGGGCTGGGGAGCAGATCTGGCTGGACTGTGCTTCTGATCCCCGCTCAGGGAACGTGGGACTGGTGGTGGCAGGGGGCTGGAGAGGTGTGATGGCTCCTGAGGTGGTCTCCTTTCACAGTCCCTTGTTAAAATAGACATACGGCACTTTGTCCCCGTGCTTGGCCACGATGCTGTCACGCAGCTCCAGCTCAAGGTCAGCCAGTGCAAGGGAGCTGTGGGGAGAGGGGGTAGACACTGAGACCTGTGATCCTCCTCCCCAGCCACCAGTCAAGCCACCCTCCCTCCCCACTGCCATTTGAGGCCCTCTGCATTCCCCGGGATCTTGCAGGCTAATGTCAAGACCCACTGCCCATCCCTGGCATCCACCACTCTGAGTGCTGGAGGGCACAGAGAGCTGCCCTTGGAGCTGCATGTCCCGTTGCTCCCAGTACAGAGCTCACAGAGGAGGGCAGGCACATGCTCTCCTGCTGCCCTGGGCACCAGCATGTACAGGAAAGCGCTGCCTTGAGTTGAAGAATGGGTGTCCATCATGCTTCTCCTGGGATGGGCAGAGGAGACCTAGGGGAGGGGGAAGTTTCACGAGGTTTCATGCAGGAGGGGAAAGCAGTGGGACAGGTACCATCTCTGTGGGAAGAGGGCACAGGCTGCTGGCACCATGAACAGGAGGCTGTGGAACAGAAGAGCCGAGCATTAGTGTTGGGGATTGCAGCCCATTTGCCCCCCAGCCACAGAGATCTCAGCCCAAGAGGTGCTGCTCACACCTTGTGACACCCAAAAACTGGGGAAAGCCCAGGCTGAAGGGCAAGCCTTTGCATTCCCCTGCTAGAAAAGAGGTATTTTTTCCAGCATCCCTTGGAGCCGTGCTCCAGGCACCCACAGGTGTTTGAGCAGTGAGATACTTACAAGCCTCCGCAGAGCAGCACCTGTAGAGGCCCATGGAGAACCCGGATTCGCTGCAAGAGAAGAGCTGGGATTGAGTCTCTGGTCCTCACTGCAAGTCCTGCTCAAAGTGTGGGCAGACTTCTGCCCTCAATGGTGCTGAAGGCCCAACACCTCCAGCGTGCCACCAAACACTGCCCCCTTTCACACCTTCTCCATGTCACTCAAGAGACCTTTGGTGTGTCGGTGACTTGAGCAGGGGGCAAAGCAAGCCAGGCTCTGGAAACCCCCATTTCATCCTCTGCATCTTGTCGGCTGGGAAGTAGGGCTAGGGCACCGCAAAACCCACTGGAAAACTCTGGTAGGGGAAATGTGAGCTCACCTGCATGAAGGTGAATTTCTCCAGCCGCTCCATGATGATGGGCAAAATAACTAGGAACAGAGGAAAAAGATCAGGCTCCTCCTGCAAGCCAGCCTGCAGGGCTCTCCCAGCAGGACTGTCCACCTGGAGGCCATGGCAGCAGCTAGTTGTGCTGAAGGCTACTGGGTGTTTGCTCACAGCAAGGACCTTAACCCACACACATCCATCACCCAGGCTGCATGGTCTGTGCCCCTCATGCTCCCAATCCCTCCGGCTAGGCTTGCAGCATGTCAAGGGTCTCATGAGGTGAGGGGATGCTGGGCTGCAGAGCGAGGGACTAGGGCCAGAGAGCATGAGATGTGTCCTTGTAGGGCCAAACTGCCATGAGAGCACCCCATGTCCCCCATAGGCTGTGGGTTGGGATGAGGAAGCCTGGGGGACTCTGACTGGAATAGGTAGGATAAGGAGATCAGCTCCATTTGTGGGATGAGACCAAATGACACCTGGGATGCAGCGCCACCCTCCCTCTTCTTCGTGGGGGAAACTGAAGCAGGGGAGGGCAGAGTAGTGGGTCCCAGAGGAGTCCTTGGTCCAGTCCTGCACTCTCCTGCTTTACACTCACTCATGCCTGGTGCTGCCATGGTGATCCTGGAGACCACAACCTGCGCGATGCCCTTCACTGCTGCCCTCTGCAAACAAAAGCAGCAGGTGAGCCCCTGCAGCGCCATGCCCCAGCCCGGACGTCCATCCCCAGACTCACCCTGGAGCGACCGAGCTCATTGTTGTCCCCATCTGTCACTGTGATCCCATTGATGATCTCCCTGAAGGGGACAGGCAGCCATGAATGAAGGCCAGGATGGTCGGGAAAGAGTAAGAACACAGCAGTGGGGTGAGGGAGTGCCAAGGAGGCCCTCTGTGCTGTGCTGGCACAGCAGCACCGGCTGCCCCCGGGGCACGGGGCTCCATCACCCCGGGGTGCTGTGGTCCCAGCCCAGCCGATGCTGCCATCTTCAGGGCACAGCTGTGAGCAGGATCCAGCCGTGCCAGGGACAGACACTGCCTGGGACCCACAGCCAAGCCAGGGGACAGTTCCTCACACAGCCCCCCACCTCCCTTGCTGCAATTTGTGGGGGATCTTAAGCAGCAAACACAGGTCTCCACATGGGCCCCACCTAGAGTGTACCAGCACCAGGATATCATGGACTGGGGCTCTCCCTTCACCACATGCAGGAGACCTTTGGGTCTGAGGGATCTTCCGGCCCAGATCCCAGAACAGCTATCCTCAGCCCAAAATACCTCTCCTGCTCCAGGCAGAGGCTGAGCCATCCCACCTGGCACCCTCCACCAGAGACACAGCACTGCAAAAACACAGACTCCCATTCACCTCCCTCCTATCCTCCCACCCTCTTCAACCCCTGGGGTGGGAATTTAAGGCAGGGCGACCAGGCAGCCCAGGAGCCCAGCTGCCACCAGGTTGCCTTGGGAAGGAGCTGGGTTCCTGGAGTGTCCCGTCCACTGCATGACACTTACTGTTGCCGCATCATGGGGATATTGACACAGTTGGCAGCAGCCACAGCTGCGAAGGGCACCCAGCGGGCCACCAAGGGGGGTGCTCGCTGTGGGAGACAGACTGGCATCAGTGCAGGAGGGCAGGATGTGCCCAGCTGCCCCACCTGGCCCTATCCTGGCATACCTTGGTGTAGAGATTGAGTCCCACCGCGGTGGCCAGGGCTGCACTGGTGGCCGTGACATATGCCACGCCGATTTGCCTGGACAGCGATTTCCAAAGAAAGGAGAGAACAGAAACACCAACTCTGACTCAACCTTCTTCCTTCAGTACCCAAGACAGAGCATACATAGGTGGCCTTTACAGGGTATCCAGGGGGGTGTCAACATAGAGGGTCCCCACCCTGTGTGTGGGATCACTCACCTCAGCGAGATGGGGGAGGCAGCATTACGGTTGGTGTAGTTGACGAAGGCATTGAAGGATTGATTCACCCACTGCCAAAAAACCACAGCAGGCACTGTCCTGCAGAGGAAAAGGACCAGGAGAGCACACAAAGGCTGTCATGGATGCCTAGCCTGTGCCTGTGGCCAGGCTTGGCAGTGAGCCAGCCAAGATACCCTGAATATACTTGTCATGGTGTCTCCAAAGGGAAACTGAGAAATGCTAGCAAAACCATGAGCCAGTGGCAGAGCTGGGAAATAACCCAGGAATCCTGGCTGCCCTAGGGCTTTGGGGATCACAGGAGGGGGTCTAGCCCTGCAGGGCACTCAGGCAGGGGTGGGAGATGCAGCTCTTGGCAGGGCGGCAGCCATCCTGCTGGGCTGAGATAAGCATTTGTCAAAGGGAACAGCAAGGGGGGAACACATGGGGACAGAAGTGGCTCTGGGGGACCAGGGTGCCTGGGCTCCTACTGGTGTCTCAGGAACATGGAAGTGGGGCAGGAAGGGACAGAGGGAGATGTGGGTTTGAGCAAGTTTTGGGATGAAGGAAAGTGGAGGTGGGCTGAGAAGAGGGTGACCAATTGGCACTGGGAGATCCCCCATCCAGACTGGACTCATCAGCAACTGTCAAACCAGTCTAGCCAAGAGAGGTGGGATTGGATGAGGATCCAGAGGGAAAGGAAGTGTAGGATCCACATACTCTGGAGACAGGATTGCTCATCCCCTCAGCCATTTCAGCAGGTAAATGCAGGGAGATGTCAGCAGGGGCTGGGGATGCTGAAGCAACCTGGCCTGGGGGCAGATTTGGTTCTCAGTTCTGAGGACTGCTACGGTCCACAGACCAAGCAAGAGCAGCAGCCAAGTAGGACTCGGTTGCATTAATCATTACAGGGGCTCTGGGAAGAGCTGAGCTGAGCTCAGTGTGAAGTGAGAGCATCCTCAGCGATGCCAGGGGCTGAGGGGATCTGTGATGCTTCCACCACAGGCTGGGTGCTGGGGACAGGGCACAGGGACACGCATGGGGCTTGGCCATGGGACACAGGCAAGCACAGCAGCCATGGGCATGCCCTGGGCAGTGCCCAGCCCCAGAGGAGGCAGATTGGATTTTGCAGCCTGGCAAACCCATGAGCTCACCGATAGAACTGAAGCATGCAGCCGGTGATGGCCATGCCCCCTGGCACCTGGAAGGACATCCTCCCGACGAGGTTCATCTTCTCACCGCTGTCAGGGTGGAAGGCTGAGTCGTACAGCTTCTTGGCATAGAGCAGCTGCTCCTGGCTGCTTCCTGGTGGCACCAGCCCGGCCCTGAAAGCCCAAAGCCTATCAGGGAAAGCTGCACAGACCTGCCAGCACCTGGCACTGCCGGGGCGCAGAGCCCCGGGCATCACACATGAAAGGCAGAGGAAACATCTCCCATGAGAGATACATGTTGCAGCTTAAGGCTCCTGGGAAAAGCCTGGGAAACTCCCAAAACTGCCTCCAGGGGATGTTACCTCACAGGGTACCTGCTTGAAAATGACTGCCTCCATCCGCTGCAACACTGCAGAGTGGTCAGGTATGGCCACGGGCACAGGGAAGGCACCTGCCCTGGCTGTACCCCTGCCCCTCACCTGCAGCCTTCCACCAGGGCCTTGGCCCGGTCCAGCTCCTCCTCCGGCACCAGCACTGTCCGTGGGTCGGTGATGTTGAGGAAATGCTTCAGGCGTCCGACAAAGGTGCTCTGGTCCCAGCGTGGGGCATCAATGTTGAAGCCAAGGGGAACAGTGGCCATTTTGCTGTGGGTCTGTGCAGGGGAAGAAGGTGGCTCGGTAGGATCCTGCCTTGCTTGCTCGTTGAGAGCAGGCCTGCCACGGCCACAGGAGCGGTCAGCTGGGTGAGGGCCAGGGCAGGTTTATGTTTAACAGGACAGTTGGACTTTCAGCAGTCCTGAGCCTGAGAGCCTCTTGCACCCCTGCTGCCAGCAGAACACTGCAGCAAGGCTGCTCCTCCACACATCATCTTGCTTGCATGGGGTCCCCCCAGCTGTGCTGCCCCTCAAAGCACCCAGAACCCCCTCCTTGGGGTGGGACATGCTGCACAGCACTGCAGGGCCCAGCTTGCCCCTCCCCAGGGCTGCACAGCCCTGCCCTGCGAGCACTCTCACAGGGGAACTACACTGCACCCCTGTCTGTGCACAGCACCACACCCCCACACCACACTATGTTCCCCCAGCACCACCCTGCACATCCCTGCACTGCCGTGGCACTGCCCTTGAGAGCTCCCCAGGGACCTGCGCTGCATGCCCACCGTGGCATGGAATCAATTAGGCGGGAAAAGAGATCATGGAGTCCAACCTATGGCAGAGCACCACCCTGTCAACTAGACCACGGCACTAACTGCCATGTCCAGTCTTTCCTTAAACACCTCCAGGGACAGTGACTCCACCACCTCCCTGGGTAGCCCATTTCAACATCTAACCACCCCTTCTGTGAGGAAATTTCTCCTAACATCCAATCTAAACCTCCTCTGGCACAGCTTAAGGCTATCCTATCTCTAGTTCCCTGGGAGAAGAGGCCGACCGTCACCTGGCTACAACCTCCTTTCGGAGAGTAGTAGAGAGCAATAAGGTGTCCCCTAAGCCTCCTTTTCTCCAGGCTAAACACCCCCAGCTCCCTCAGCCGCTCCTCATAAAACCTGAGCTCCAGACCCTTCAACAGCTTCGTTGCCTTTCTCTGGAAAGCCCGGCCCGGGCCGGCACAGCACAGTACGGCTCAGCACACCCCCGACCGGCCACGGCCCGGCCCGGTTCAGCTCAGCTCTGCGCGGCCCCGGACACCACACCCACTGTCCCGGCCCGCCGTGCCGTGCCGAGCCGTGCCGAGCCGAGCCGTGCCGTGCCGTGCCGAGCCGAGCCGAGCCGTGCCGAGCCGAGCCGTGCCGTGCCGTGCCGAGCCGTGCCGATGCCGAGCCGAGCCGAGCCGAGCCGAGCCGAGCCGTGCCGTGCCCACGTGTCCCACCTGCGCTTCCCGGGCCGCGCTCCCGCCCACGTGTCCCGCCCCCGCGCGCCGCGCTCCGGCGCGTGGACCCCCTCAGCCAATCACGGAGCCCCGAGCGGCCGCGCCCACCTCCCCCCGTCGGGGCCGCCCTCGTGCGCATGCGCTCGTTGTAGCCCGGTGGCGCGCACGCCGTGCGCGGGGCGGTGTGACGCAGTTGCCCATGGTAACCGCGGGCCGCGCCGAGCATGGTGAGCGGGGCGGGCCCGCCGGGCCGGGGCGCGGGGGCTGGGGGCCGGGGCGCCGCCACAGGGGACCGTGGGGTAACGAGGGCCGGAGGCACCACCTGGAGTCTGTCGGGCCCGGCCGGGGCCCGGGGCAGGCGTTGGCGGGCCTGGGGCCGCGCAGGGGTTTGCGGAGCCCAGGAGGATGGACCAGGCTCTGCTGGGTGATGCCGGGCAGTAGGGCACAGGGCGGCGGGCACGAGCAGATGCAGAGGATGTTCCTCCACCTGAACTTCTTTACTGTGCGGGTGACCACGCACTGGAACAGATTGCCGAAAGAAGATGTGGAGTTTCCCCTCACTGGAGAAATTCCAGAACCGTCTGGATGCAATCCTGTGCCACGTGCTCTGGGATGTCCCCTGCTTGATTAGGGAGGCCAGACCAGGTGACTCGCTGTGGTCCCTTCCAGCCTGTCCTGTTCTGTGATGCTGTGACACCCACCTGGGAGTCTGGCAGTCCTGGGATCTGAGTGCCCACCTGGGGAGTGGAACAAGGACCTAGTGGAGCAGGGGTGTCCGGTCGGGAGTGGGCGGCCCTGGGCTGTGGAGGCTGGGGGCACCCAGGCAAAGGGATGGGAACAGTGTAAATTTGTGGCCTCCAGCCATGGGAGACCCTATCTGGGGCCCTGGCAGGACACAGAGATTACAGGGGACGTGAAGAAGGGGGTTGAGTCCAGAGAAGGGCAACAAAGCTGGTGAAGGGTCTGAGCACAAGTCCTATGAGGAGGAGCTGAGGTTGTTTATCCCGGAGAAAAGGAGGCTTAGGAGGGACCTTGTCACTTTCTACAACTACCTAAAAGGGGGATGTAGCCAGATGGCAGTCATCCTCTTCTCTCAGGCAACTGGTGATAGGATGAGAGGACATAGTCTTAAGTTGTGCCAGCAGAGGATTAGATTGGACATTAGGAGAAAGTTCTTCACAGAAGTGATTAGATGTTGGAATGGGCTGCCCAGGGAGGTAGCGGAGTCACTATCCCTGGCGGTGCTCAACAAAAGACTGTACGTGTCATCTAGTCCCACGGTCTAGTTGATGTGGTGGTGTTGGGTCGTAGGTTGGACTCAGTGATCTCAGAGGTGTTTTCCAGCTTAATTGATTCCATGAGTTGGATCTTGGCAGGGGCTGGGAGACCTGAGGGTGCTGTGGGGGGATGGGATCAGCCTGCCTGTAGTTGATTCAGTCAAAGTCTGGAAGGCGTGATAGAGGATTGGGTGCTTGGGAGGGCAGGGCAGCATGATGGCAGGCTCTGGGCTGAGGAGGGAAGGAGCAATGGAAGAGCCTGGCAAGGATGGAGGGCAGTGTTCAGGGATTGATTATGAAGAATCTTGAACCAGCTGTGACTGTAAAGGGACACTGGACAGCCCAACCAAGGTGGGAGGAGGACACCCTGTGACCTGAATCCTGTCTGTAGGAGTTGATTGAGGGAGCTACTGGAGAGCTTGGTGAGGTGTAAGGCCTGGTTGTTGGTAAACAACCTTAAAAGGGGAGTTCAGTCATGGCAGAGAGGCCTGGATGAAGGGGTTGCATGTTCAGGGATGGGCAGGACTGAAACAAACTACTCAGAGGCTGAAAGAAAACTGCCAGTTGGGTGGGATGGACAGTCTGGTGAGTCACTGGGAAAACCCAGTCAGTGTTGGCTGGCTAGGATACTTTGCTGGGATCTTTTGTGCCCTGGGGGTTTCTGCCAAGAGCTGGGGAGATGAGAGACAGTCTGGGTTGAAAAGAAAAAATAAGAATATACTGGGGGGAGGGATGGAAATGGAGCTTTGGTGCTGATGGGAGAAAGAGAGATCCCAGGGAGAAAAGAAGTGTTGGAGGAGAGAAATTAATTGTTTGAGAGGTAGCAGTGTGGATTGAAGGAAGAAATGGAGGTCTTGGGTGGAGGGCAGTGCTGGGAGACAGGTAAGGTGGTGAGGGCACAGTTGAGGTTGTGGGAAGGTTGGATGATGGACCAGGGTGTTGGAAACGTGTTGGGTTTAGATGCCAGAATAGTTGGGGTGGGACAAGTGGGATGCAGGCAAAGTCTAGTGAGGACTGGAAGGAAGGGTTGGGTCTGTGGATGAAGGGTGGTGAGAGAGAGGTGATGTGGGTGGGGAGCAGCTGCTGAGGATGCAGCGTGAGCAGAGAGCACAGACAGAAGGAAATAGCAATAGGGAAGGAGATTTCCCAAGGGCACAGCTTTATTTTGTCCAGGAGCCCTCTGGATCACAAGTTGGACTCATGCAAGAGGACAGCATGGGAGGATGTATAAGCAAGAGCAGTAAAGGCAGCTTCTCATCTTCACTGGGTTAATTCTGGCTACATCCCCACCTGCTGGGCTACAGAGAGGGAGATTGAGATGAGGCCTGTGGGATCTGCTTTGTTTCAGATGAGTTGGTGATGGAGCATGTCACACCAGACACTGAAGCCATCACAGGGTGGACATCTGCTGTAAAGATGAGGGCAGCTGCTTCCAGCAGTGCAGTGCTTTGTAGGACACATTTGGCCTGCAGCTGTCAAATCTGCTCTTCTGCCTTATGATGTCCCGATAAGCTGGTGTAGTCTGGGATCTGGCTGCTCTTATCCAGGCGCTTTGTGTGTGAAGAGGGTGGACTGGGTGTTCTCCAGTGCTCGTGTTATTTGATACAGCATTTTACTGCCTCTTTGTCTATTTTCCACTTCTGGGAGTTGTTTTCTGAATTGTAACCTCTCAGGCAGGGTGGGTGGCACTTTGGGGTGCCTGGTGGACTGGCTGGACTGGCAGGACGCTGCACTGTCTCTCTAGATTCCCAACTTCCGCTGAAACAGAATTATCCTTCGTGGATAGAAATTCTGAAACAGCAACAAATGTATCCAAAGCAGCTGTGGCAACCCCCAGGGTGTGGGTCAGCAGTCAGAAATGATCCAGGCAGCTTGATGTAACAATTTACTGCTTGTCATCTGAGCTGTGGTAGCTGCCCGTGAGCGCATTCTGCCATGCCGTGATTGCGTTGGGAGGCACTTAAACCCCCTTCAACAACTGCTAGCTCCAGTAATGAGAGGGTTAATGCCGAGGTTTAAATTATTTCAGTGTTCATCCAAGTGAGTAGGTACAGAGGGGAAGTGTCTCCTTCTGCAGAGCATACCAGCATTTCTCACAGCTCTGGGGCAGGGGTGGTGGAAGGTCGTAGGTAGAGCATGGAGGGAAGGATGAGCATAAAACTGCATAGCATGAGAGACATGTAGCGCTGTAGTCTTTGGCACAGTTAAGCAGCATCTGTGGTGGGCACACAGCAAGGGCAAAGGGAGACTGCTGCATGAAAGGTTATGCTGCTTTCCAAAGTTTAGGAAATGCCGTGTGAAGCAGAGCTTGTGGCCTCCTCATCACTGTAATAACAATCTTTACCGAGAGAGATGGTATGTTATTGATAGATACTGGGGCCAGAGGATGGACGGTGTTCTTCTAAAACCATTGATTGAGGATGACATCATTATGTCAAAACCAGAATTGTCAAAGTGTGGCCCCATTTTACAGTTGAGGAAACTGAGTGATGGAGTGTCTAGCTGATGCTAGGCAGATCTGGTGGAGAGGATGAAATACCAGCATAGCTAAATGTGTAGTCAGGCATTTTTCTCCTGGTCTTGAGCTTGTGTTTCTAGGAAAACCAGCATTTATCTCTTGCCTGCTGTAGGTGTACCTCGTACCCAGAAATTCTTTCTATTATCCCTTGTTCTTTGGCAGTAAGGCTCTATTTAAAAAGACCCCATTAGAAAAAACATGCTTGCAAGGGTTTTAATAGTGCCTCACTACTTTAGTTTCCCAGTACAGTTCCATGTCATGTTTTTTGGTTTATTTTACTGATTGCTGAGAGGTTGATAGGAGAGACCACCTGCAGATAGGAGAGTATATCAGCTGCTGACCAAGACTTTGAAGTTCTGAAAGCAGACAAAGACTGCTGACATTGTCCAGTGCTGGGCATTCACTCTTCTCTGTGCAGGGCAAAATGCTTCCCTCAAACTTGCTAAAACCAAAGGAGTTTGATTTTAATTATGAAATGAGGATTCATGCTGGTATTGGTTAATGTATCAAACTGGAAAGTGCTGTGTGACCTCTTTGACAGAAAACTATGTTAGTAGGTTTGAGCTGAAAAAACTCTGTAGGTGACTTGACTCCATTAAATTTTGGATTTTAATTCAGGAAAGAAAGTCTGCATTGAATGACACCATATGGTGGAGACACGCAGCAAGCAAATGATTTTTTGGGAGTTTTGCCAGAGTAAGAAGTATTGAATAAACTGTGCTCAATAGATTAATTTACTTCGGTTGTATTTTGAAAAAGACTGGATGATTTTATGACCATTAGTGACATTTGCAGTTCTGCAGCCGAAGATAAAGGTAATCAGACGTCATTCTTCAGGGCACCAGCTAATCAGTGCAGTTGTCAGGAAGGACTCCCCTCCTCCAGCTCTGTGTGTGCAGGATTGCACCCTGGATGACAAATGTAGCCTCAAATATCCACTGCGGAAGGCAGAATATTTGGCTCAACTAAGCCCCTCGTCCTTCCCCATGTCAGCTTCTCCTGTGTGACTTTCT